TTAATCTATTAAAGCTAAAACTGTTTTTCTTGAAATTAAAAAATGCATTAAAAAGTTTCTATTTCATGATTGCAGTAAGCTATGTAGCCTCGCTAGGTGCCACTTTATAGTAAGTTCACTTTACTCACTGAGGTTTATACCTAACATCAGATGTGTTCATAGATATGTATATATCAGCTGTGCTTGCTATTGAAAGTTTTTAAATTAACTAAGATCTTTAGTGAATCAATAAAATGTGGGGAAAAAAAAGTGGGAGGAAGGTGGAAAATGGCAGAGGGTGAGAGGTAGGGAATCAAGGGGGAAAGCAAAATATATAAGAAACAAGAAATGGAAAGTTATTGGTTGACAACAATAACATGTATGGTAATATCCTTGACTGAGCCAATATACAGTGTATTCTGGATGGAAAATCTTATTTTGTATACTGTATTGATGTACAGTGAATGAATGTAAATAAATAAATTTTAAAAAAAGACATGTTAAGGAAACGCTGACTCAAACTTCATAAACTTGGATTTTCAGGCTTGAAAATAAATTTTTTTTTAATTTGTCAGAGGGTACGTGTACTCACCAGAGAGACGGGGTAGTGGGAAGAGAGTTAGAGAGAGAAGAAGAAAAAGTATCCAGTTGCGGGGGGGGGATGGCCACACCACCAGCTCTTCTCTTCCATTCTCTTCTCGGGATTTTGGGCACACACACACCTGGTGTGTCTTCCAAATTGCCAGGTCTGGGACTTAAACCACGGAGCTGGATACATGGGATTTAACTGCCTTAACTAATGTGCAACCAGTTAGCCCCAGAATTAAAGTATTAAAGTATATATATGTATGTGTGTGTGTGTGCGTGTGTGTGTGTGTGTGTTTTAATAATTTTTCCTGTTGGATGGCTTCTTTCTTTTTTTTATATATATATTTTTGCTATAGGGCACGTGTGCTCACCAGACAGACAGAGACAGAGAGAGAGAAAGCGAGAAATCACCCCCCAGGGGGGATGGCCATGCTGCAATCCCTTCTCCTTTGTACTCCTCTTGAGATCTTGGGCATGCATGCACATGCGCCCAGCGTGAGTTTTAAGCCACCAGGTCCGGGACGCGAACTGCGGTCGACTACGTGGGAGTCCAGCGACATAGCCATTACGCTAATTGCTGGTCCTCTTTATATATATATTTAACTTAAACAATTTTTTTTTACAGTCAATCACTGTATATCATTTCATCATACTTGAAGAATTATCCCAGCATGAATGTATATTAGTCCAAATTTTTGCCAGAAGGTGTATGTACTCACTGGAGAGAGACAGAGAGAGAGGGAAAGTCACAAAGTACCCCCATGGGGAATGACCACACTGTCGCATTTACAAATGACAAACCACGATCTTCTTCTAAGCGGTTTATTGTTCCCCAGGAGTGTTACAAATCTTCTTTCCGCGAGCTCGCTTCCCTTATAAAGGCACCCCGGCCAATCAGCGCACTGTCCACGTGTATGGAAGCCAGCCCTCGCAAGAGGATTGGTTGCATGCAATGTTCCCGTGCTCTCCACGCCCCCTGCATGCCACTTCCTCAAAGTTGTTTACCACTTTGAGTACTTTGTGAGCTTCCGCCATGCGCCATCTTAAGGCGAGCATTGTAGGCGATGGGCGGGGGCACTCCACAGTTCCCCCTTTTTTGTTTTTAAGCAGGAGAGGGTAGAGGACTATGGTATCACTGCGGCCTTCACAGTGGCGATGGTGGAAGGCCTCCATCGGTATGCCATGACCCCAGGAGACTGGCAAAGTCTTGTCAAGGCTTGCATGAACCCCGGCCAATATCTAGATTGGAAAGTCTACTACCTAGAGTTAGCCAACGAACAGGCAACGCGTAATCGAGTGGCAGGTAATGCCGCTTGGGACCTGGACAGTGCGCTGATTGGCCGGGGTGCCTTTATAAGGGAAGCGAGCTCGCGGAAAGAAGAAGAAGATTTGTAACACTCCTGGGGAACAATAAACCGCTTAGAAGAAGATCGTGGTTTGTCGTTTGTAAATGCGACACCACACCACCTTTCCTTCTCCGTTTTTCCCTCCTTTCAGGATTTTGGACCTACATGCACACAAGCTCAAAATGTTTCTCCAGCCACCGGTCTTGAACTGCATGACTGGCCATGTGGGATCCAGTCGCCCTCATCACCAGGACCTGAGCTGTCCATCATAGAATTGAAATCCCATTTTCTTTGGTCCTCCTTTCCCCCAAAACAACTTGTAACTGCTACAGGCAAGAATTCTACATATGGGTTTCCACTTGGAGGTGCCTCAGAATCACCAGGGAGCTTGTGAGAATGCAGGCTCCTGCTCCCCTCCCAGGGAGTGTGTGCAGGGCTGCCAGATTTCACATACATAAATAAATGAATAAACACACACCTACCCCTAAACTATGGGGACTCACTCAAATCAGAATTTTAAATAAAAATGGAGTACTATTTTTTTTGACATAAGTGATGTCCCATGTAATATTTAGGATATACTTTTAATAAAATTTACTTGTTGCTTATCTGAAATTAGAATTTAACTGTGTGTCCTGTGTTTTCTCTGGCAACCCTAAGTAAGAGGCCTGGAGCCTGGGGTGAGGCCCAGGTATCGTCATTATCACTCTGCTTATAAGAAGCCCTCTTGAGAACTCCTGGTCAGGTCTACATCTTCCAGGTCCAGGGTCCCTTCTTGCTGCTGCCAGTTGAGCCCAGAGCTTCCTGTAAGCCAACAGGCTGCCATGTTGGTCCAAGGAGAACATGGCAGTGGGAAGAACCTACCCCAGATTTTCAAAATCAACTGTGAATGAAGTCCATCATGGTCCATGCTGTTGGGGGATACTGCTGCTCCTCTTGGCGAGTATTTTTAGAGCTGCCTAGAGGCCCCCAGCACCAGGATTCTGACTAGATTCTTCAAATCTTATTATTTCACTCATCAGAAGAGATTTTAGGCCTTGGAGGTCTCAGTCCATGCAGCGTTCCTGGTGGTGGGGAGTGAGAGGCTCCCAGGTATGACCTTCAGGGCCCCTTCAGCTCTGCTTCCAGAGGCTCAATGCAGTCTTGCCTTCGCCCCTCCCACCCTTGCTCTGGGTCCCGTCCATCCAGGACCTCCCATTTCCCACCTTCACTCTGGTCTTGCCACAGTAATTTCTGTCTAACCTTTCTGTCTACCACCTCTCCGGGACACAAGATGGATACTTCATGCTCATCACAAATGAAGCGCTGGGCTGAGCGTGTTTATAATTGTCCATTTAGTCCTTGAGCTAAGTCCATGAAAGCATGGCTACCATTAACGTCATTGCTTTTGTAAAGGTACTTATTTCTTCCATGGGTGGGAGAGACCCAGACAAGGCCTTCATGCTATGGTCCTACCCCGCTCCCCACCTCAGCAAAGCTAGGATCGCGAGCACATGTACACCCAGCACATACAGGGAGTCCTTGGGACTCAAACCTGTTACCTTCCCATAGGCTTTGGCTTTGTGGTGCACTGCTCTGTGTTACCACTGCACCACCCCACCGGGCATGGCTCCCTCTTTGTAGATGAGAACACTGAAATTGCTGGGAGTCTTGACAGTTTGCTCCAGAGCACACAGGGTAAGTGGGTGGTAGAGCTGGGATGCTGAGGCACCGCCTGTGTCATGTGTCATCACCCACCCCCCGGAAGGCCTCCTGGTGAACTGCGTGCTCCCTGTGACTGAGAATTCTAGGGGCTAGTTTTGTTGTGTTTCATGTAAATGAGCCACTCCTTAGGCGGTGATCCCAGGCACTTTCTGGTCTGGGGCCTAACAGCTAGCATGTTGAGCACCTCCTGGGACAGTGGATCTCAGGCTTTACTGAAATTCTTTCCACCCCACTGAGAAGGCAGAGACCCAGGCATACAAAGCCTCTTGGCCCAGTTTGTAGACCCAGAGCGGCGGGCACAATCTGCCCAGAAAGGAAGAACCCACCTCTGGGTTTTCCAAAGTGCACGCCGGCTTCCCGTCTTCTCTCAG